TCTTCACGCTCTTCGAGCTGTGGGTCCGGCAGCATGTTGGCTGTCCCAACACAGTGTGTGGTTATCTCCTAAGCCTGTGAAAGCCGGAATAAAAGAGAGTACCCTCCTACTAGTATCTATGAATTAGCACACTACATTTGCTGTCAGGAGTGTTAACGAAAAATAAATATTTTTTCTATATTGTAGGGTTGTTAGGAATTATATTTTTTTCCTTTCAAATTCTTGTTGGGAATATAGACTATGTCGAAGTTCGCGGAGAGGAAGGCTCTCATCGGCACATCCTTGGACGAAGAGGACGACGGCGAAGAGGGTTTTTGGGCAGCCCTGGCAGTTGAGACCCCGGCGGGGGATCCCGGAGTCGCGGTCCCAGCGAGGCAGCAGGTGAAGGACGATGATCCCTCGCCACCGCCGGCTGGAGAAGGGCTGCAGGCACTCAGCGTGTGCATTGTGGAGCTGCTCTCTGCGGTGATGGCACTGGTGGGGCAGCTGGGCAAGGAAGAGCCAGTGGAGGGGGCTGTAAATCGGGGGCAGCGAACGGGTGATTCTGCCGTCACTACCGACCAAGGCCGGGTATCGAGCCCAGCAGAAAGCAACCTACTACTGACGGATTGTCCGGGGGCCCCTTCCCTCGTGCAGCGGCTGCCATTTCTCAAACAATTTTCGGCTTCGGGTGGTGATTGGGCAGCCTTCCGACAGTGGTTCTCCACCACTTGCGAGCTTGTGGGGTGGTCCATTGTGGAGGTGCTACATATTCTTCCCAACGCGCTGGACAACACAGCCTTGGCGGCATTTTTTTTCCATTCCCGAGGTGGACAGGACGACGCTGCATCAGGCGTATTGCCAGTTGGCGGCAATTTTTGACCCGCCGTCCAACGTGCGGTGAAATTTCGTGATGCAGAGTCGGGGGAGAGACTGAGACATCCCTCGCCTTCCACAGCACGCTATTTTCGCTGGCCCAGGATGCATATCCATGGATGGAGCGGGCAGGACTGGATTCTCTGGTGCTAGAGAAACTGTTGGTGCTGGCTCAGGAAATTAACGTTTTTTTGCCGGCCACAGATTCAGGTAGCCAGATGCATCCAGGCCCAATGTAACCTGTGATGACGTGCCGGGGTTGGATTTTCATGAGAAGAGGGTGACCAGGAGCATCAAAGTCTCCTTGGGTCTGCACGTCGGCTGGTTGGAGCCTGCGGGGGTGGGTCGGAGCAGGACGACGACGACGGGACCAGTGGGGGGGGGACTATGCTTCCGCTTCGGGAATGCTTCCGCTTCGGGAATTATCCGATGTATTTATTAGGTATAAATTTGATGTGGGCCGCACATCCCTGATGCGTCGCCATATTGATATGGGTGGCGCTGCTCCCATTTGTCATTACTCATTTCAGTACTGTCCGGCCTACATTCATCAGGCGGTCGGCGAGATGTTGGCTGCCGATATAATCTCTGTCAACCAGTCCGTGGAGCTCCCATTTTCCTGGTTAAGAAGGACGGGAGTTTTCGGTTCTGTGTGGACTTTGGGAAATTGAATAGGGTCTCCCTGGTGGGTGCGTATCCACTCCCACAGATGGATGATTCATTGGATGCCCTGTCAGGGGCGCAGTTTTTCTCCACCCTGGATATATTGTCATGGTTTTGGCAGTTTCCCCTGGATGAAAACCCAAACAGCGTTCCGGAAACCGAGGGCTGTTTCAATTTAACATGCTTCCGATGGGGCTTCACTCGGCTTTGGCCACATTACAGCGACTTATGGAGTTGGTACTGTTGGGGCTCCAATGTGAGTCATGTTTTATCTAGTTGGATGACGTGATTGTCTTTGGCCGCATATTCCAGGAACATCTGCAGCGGTTGCATCTGGTATTTGTTAGAATGCTGGTGGCTATTTTGAAATTCAAGCTGCAAAAATGTTACCTCTTGCAAAAATCGGTTTGATACTTGGCACATTGTTTGTGAGTCTGGGATCGCCATGGACCCTGACAGGACTGTGCATGCATAAGTTGCCGACCCCCATGTCGGTGGGTGAGGTCCGCAGTTTTGTGGGGTTCGTGTCGTATTACCACCGCTTCATGCCCTGGTTTGCGACAATCGCGAAGCCACTCCACACTTTAATGGAAAAGGGCCAGAGGCTTCGGTGGGGGACCGAGGAGGAGGCCGCATTTGTTATGCTGGTCGACGGCCTCGTGAACGCACCCCCCCCCCCCCCCCATCGATAACCCGATTTTCTCCTTGCCATTTTCATTGGATGCGGACGCCAGTGAAACTGGGATCGGCGCCGTGTTGCAGGTGGAGAACAGGGTGGAGTCTGGTCGCTTATGGTAGCCAGGTGCTGTCCCCATCAGAGCAGCACTATTGTGTTGCATGCCACGAGTTGTTGGCCATCTTGCACTTTGTACAACAGTATCGCCCGTACCTCTACGGTAGGCAGTTTATAATGCGTGCAGATCACGCAGCTTTGCAATACATGCTACGCATTAAACAGCCATCCGCGCAACTCTCGCGATGGTTGGAAATCTTGCAAGATTATTAATTCAAAGTCGCCTATAGTAAAGGGCTACGCCACAGCGGCGAGGATGCATTGTCACGGTTATCGCCGAAGAGCCAGTGTGCACATTTGATGGGCACTGGCCGTAGTAAGCAGGTGGATGTGGGCGAGCCAGGCACCGTGGTTGCATCAGTGGATGCTCTGCCACCTATACTGGGGGTGGCACACGATAATACTATTGGTCCTGCGCACAAAGAATGGGGGTGCCTCCAAGCGGAGGACGCCTCCTGACTAAAGTTACAGCGCCGTGTTGATGCACCAAGGGATTGGAAGGGTCCAGGGGGTATGTCCCTCATGGTTCTCCAAGATGGGCTACTTATGTGCTGGGATACAGAGGTACAGCAGTACTGTATCGTGGTGCCAACTGCTTTGCAGGGTAGAGTAATGAGAGCTGCTCATGTGCGATTGATGCACCTAGGGGTGCAGAAAACGTTGTCTACATTTAAGCGGGACTTATTTTGGCCCGGGATGACAGTGGAATGTGCCTGCCGGAAGCCGCTGCTGAGACCGACCCAACCACTGCTGCAGTCCATTGGGGTGTCCCATGTAAACGAGCTCGTTGGCCTCGACATCCTCGGGCCATTTCCAACCAATCCAAGGGGAAATACATTCTTCCTGGTAGGGGTAGAGTACCTGTTATGGTGGCCGGTCACATGGCCTCTACCGGATCATTCAGCGGTGCATGGCTGCATTGCCTCCAGGTGCCCGTGGGCACATCTCTTAAATTACATAGGCCATGGCAGGACCTGGTGGAGGTAATTGAGGTTTGGAGGCGCAGTGTGTACGGATCCAGGTTGGTCGCAGGCATTCGTATGTGCACCCGTTACGACTGAAACCATATTTTCCACCTTATGAGGGAAATTCATCTCCACCATCTGATGGCCGGGTGTGTGTGTCCGACGGGGACAGATGTACGTTTACGGAGGTTGCACCTCTTCAAGACTGTTCCTCCATCCGCAGGATCCCAGGGCTTGAAGCGCATGGAACTGCCGGCTGTGCCGCCCACGGGTGGGACGGTACAACCACCACCCACTTCTTCCTCTCCTTCGTCTTGAGGGTGGCCGCGCCCATTTGACCAGCTGCGAGTCACCCCCGGGGTCACTGGGGGACCCGAGCTTGGCACATACGAGCGACCGGCAACAAGGAACCGTTCCAAGACGGTTCGGTTGAGATGACCGCCCCTACTTGTCGCTGAGTTGCTGTTATTTTGGGGGCTGGATTGTTGCTATACATTTCGAATGTTGCGCGGATATTGCGGTGTTCATCGTCCCACTACGCGACGTTTGGAGCTCAGCCGGGACTGCTGTTTTTTTTCGTGGGGGGGGGGTGATGGTGCCGTGCAATGAGTCACTGTAGCGTGTGCCGCTGGAAGATTGGTAGACAATAGAATTAGGGGTAACAGCCCGTTCTACCAGTTGCACCTGTGGTCAAGGCACGGAGCCCTCTGGGGATCCAGAGGGGTGCAGGGCTGAGGGCGGAGCCTGGGCACGCTGTTCAGTATGTAAGGCGAGCCCCGACTCAGTCGGGGCTGCTGTGATTTGGAGTGGAACTCGTCGTGCCATCGTCGTTGTGATCGCCACCCTCTTCGAGCTGTTGGTCCGGCAGCATGTTGGCTGTCCCGACCCGGTGTGTGATTATCCCCTAAAGCTGTAAAGGCTGTAATAAAAGAGAGAGTACCTCCTACTAGTGTCTGTGAATTGGCACACTACAGATGTATGAACCTGGTAACCAGTGGAGAAGGTCTTATAATTTATGCAAGAAAACCCCGAATCACTAGCTTGCGATAATCTATTAAAATATATTATAAATATTGTGAGACCCTCCACATACAACATAAGGGATAGTGTAGGGGTAGTGATAGGGGTTGGGTAGCGATAGGGGTAAGGGGTAGCAATAGCGGTAGTGTTAGGGGTAGTTATAGTGGGTTGGGGCAGTGGCCGGGGTAGTGATAAGGGTTGGGGTAGGCCTGGTTGTAGCTGGGGCATGGATTTGCAGCAGCAGCAGGATGTAATGGCGGCAAAGAGATGGGGGTTGTTTTAAGGGAGTAACAGAAGCAGGTTCGTGAAGATGATGCTCTGTGTACTGCAGTAGCAGTTGGTTTAAGTGGAGGGGAGAGAAGAGAGGAGAGAGCGAGACTGCATGCAGGGTGGCGAGGGTGGTACAGGGAGGGACGGTAGAGACAGGGAGCATAGATGACCGGATGGGACGGAGTAGTGCATATATGTTGCTAAGCAGAATTGAGCCTGAATGAGCGCTCATATGGGCTACCATCGTGCAAGAAACGGTCAGTGTTAAAATTGCCAGCGCCAGGAGATCATATCTTCGAGGTGTATATTGCAAGCCCAGTAGGCTAACCATGTACATAGTGGTAGCGTCCCTATCAGTTACTCAACCAAACCTCCAAGCAGATGAGACTCAGACTATTCCAGCCTTGGGATGCTGTGACCCTTGTTCAGTTTACCGTGGCCAGCATCAGCACCATCAGTAGCAGCTGTGTTGATCCAGACAAAAGCCGGGAAGTCGGAACCACGCGGCCCATGTCCAAACGCTTTTGGACAAAACTTTTGCTGGCAGTGAGAAAGGACACACACGTATGCATGTTGAACTTCTTTCAGACAGTACACTAGCCAACCGCACTAATCAAAGGTGCGGGGGAAGGACAAACTAAACACAGCAACCAGCAGTTCTAAAGAAATTGGTTCTCATTGTAGTAGTGGTGTAATGTATAATATAGTGTTGTGCATAAGTGTGGTGTGTAGTGTATGTTGTATGTGTTGAACTTCGTTTGCACCGTACGTAACCAACCTTGCTAATTGGAGAACAGAATGATGATGGGCTTTGGAGTGCTGTCCTTTATAGCTCGATCCAGGTGAATCCGTTCATTTGAAGACTTCAAAAACGTGAAACATAAAAAATAAATCAAATAAACAGTGCGAGTGCAGTTATTTGATCCACAGTTTTTTGTAAGCTAGTTTTTTTTTACAATGGACGAAAATGGTTTATATTGCCTTCATCGTGTTTTATATATATAATCTACAATTCAAGAAGATAGGTCTTGATTTTAAGTCGTCACCAGCAACCATCTAAATTGGGACAATTAACCTAGGAAAACGGTTATAAACGTGGAAAGGTATGGTTGATTTCTGGAACTTGGATCAAAAGATTGATTTGGTATTTTTTACGAAAGTATTTTAAGCTATACATATTCAAAATGTTTATAAAAACGTACAACTTAACAAAGCGTGTTTAAAACTTCATGTAATGTTAAGATGTTTCACACAATGCGCCAAGTTCTAGCTTATTTTGTTGGTGTAAATGTTAGTTGTTTGGAGTATATGTAATATTTAGAAAGCTAAATAAAATTATACTTGACACTCTACGAAACAGAATTACACTTGGCTGTGTATGGAAGCGTTTCTCGGACAGTTGCATGATGGTGCTCTTATAGACGAGTTAAAAGTGGTAGACACGGCACAAAATGTTTAGTTAAATATACGCAGCGCTATTGATAACTACGAACAACTGTACTTGCTCCGGCAGTACATAAACTGCATAACTACAAATATATATGTTAGCACTATGTATTTTGAACTCAACATGAAATTGTAATACTGCACCAGTGCATGCTCACCTCTCCGACCCCATCACTTGTGTTGGACACCACATTGAGAACTTGGCTATAAGTGGGTCTGAGGTTGATGATGAGATAGCTTTATCCTCTTTACGGAAAGAAGAATGCAGAAAGTGCCTTCAGGCAAAAAAAAATACTCAACTGGGGTAGGCCAGCATTCGGTCAGTTATCACGGCTGTCAAAGCACATCTGGCATTGTTGAAGTTTTGAGGTGGGGGGTTAAGACTTGCACTGAATTGGAGAGTATTGAGGAAGTTTTAACATTCACATGGTCAGGGCACGTCATGGTTATAATGCAGCGTGGCCAGTTCTCCAGACTAACAGTGAAGTTGCCGGTAAAGAAGACATCCATTAGGGCATCCGCCTTAGAGGCTGAGCGATTAAATGAGCTCATGTTCAGGTGATACATGGATTGTTAGAACTCAAGACTGAGAGATATAGACAACTTGGGAAGGTCTTCTTCCAGCAGTGGATAAATCCTGGATTGATTATTTTTCGTCAGAAAAAACACTGCTGATTTCCAACTGGGTAATATTCGTGATATTGATCCTCTAAATGAAATGACAAACTTGAGATTGCCTTTATTATACTAAACTGTTTGCTCGTTTAGTTTGTTGGCCTTCCCCCGCACCCCCGGTTACCACGGTTGGCTACTTACGGTGCCAAAAAAAGTTCAACATACATTCTGTTATCCTATAACGCTGGAGTAGTTCCATTACTGAAGATCATGTCATGGAAACATCGCGTTATTTTAAATTATATATAATGTAGGGTAAAGCAGTCCTCGATAACACGTGAGATGTGTACTTAGGCTTAACAAAAACTACAACACGTGGGTAGCGTCGAGAAGCATCCAGCAGCATTCCAATACCTTGTTGTAATGCTAAGCCGAGGCAGCTTTACGACCGCTTATTTCTACTCACGCGATATTATTCCATTCGCTCAAATCGCATTCAAGGGACTCCTCTAGTTACGAACATTCGACTTATGAATTTTAGAGATACGAACCAACCTGTCCTTCTGTCCAGTTGCCCGTTTGGACCGAGAATCGTAAGTACAACAACCACACAATAAATGGCGGTGGTTGTTTGATATCAAGCACTGGTTAGTTTTGAATCTCAGGACCCAAACACTGAAATGTTTACTAAGGTGTTGGCAGCTATTCACGATACTATTGCCTGTTACAAGTTGATGTATGAAGAGAACAAGAGAGTAACTGTGTAGACATCTCTTGGTAAATTGTTCAAGAGAGTAAAGAGGAAACATGAGCACCAAAGGGAATTAGCATCTACACCTGCAGAACATAAATAATCGGTGGCATACCCTTTGGTTCTTTCGGAAAAGTCACGTATGTAGAAAAATATATATATATCACGACGTTTCGATCGCAACACAAGCAGTCGTCCTTAGGCGGAAAAAAATAATCCAGCAGTAGAACTGTTACAGTCACGAAAGCTTCAAATCAATCAGTGCAATCTCCATCTACAGGAGATTATAAAACTTTTTAAGCCATCCCGTGTTTAGTACACATGCCTTACAACATGTTTGGAATCGACGGGGGTAAAGTTGGGCTTACGAACAAATAGACTGACGAACATACCTCTGGAACCAAACTTGTTCTTAAGTAGAGTCCCCGTATATCCAATGTGCATCCACGGAATAAAAATGTCTTCACCAAATACATTCATAGTGTTATAGTCAATTTGCATTACGAAAATACGCATTACAGGAGAACAGACTTCACACACAAAATAAAGTAAATTAGAGACAAACCCACCTGCCCCCATACATTGATAAAACATCATGATGCATGTTTATTCATTGGAGATGGTAGTCTTGTCGCTGCCCCACCTGTGACATGTGTAGCCAAAAGCCGCTGCGAGGATGACCAGAGTTCACATGATGATGGTATATGCCCCTTGACGAGGTCAGCAAGGTGTTGATTCATTTGTGGCAAGCACTTTGTGTGTAATGAGTGCGACCCTATAATGTATTCGTCCAGCATTGGTGTTAAATAAGTTTAATATACATACACCCCCTCTCAGTCGCGTGCTGCGTGTGACTGGATGTATTAATAGTTTCTTACTAACAGCATTTGCTCCAACGAGTATTTAGCAAGTCAAGTTGGGCACGATAGTGTATTATTATCAAAGATTTGACCAAATTCCTGCTGAATCAAGGCACTTGTTGTTGAACTTGCCAAAAAATGCCTTTGGAGAATAACGAGTTTTAAATTAAAACAAAAACAACCATTAATGGAAGTGGTTCATAATGGCCGTGTCACAGAACTGAGCATCAACTATTGATATTTTGGACTTATGGGTTAGCACACCGTGTTACCGGGTTTAGTAGTACATTTGGTTATCTTAGTCCAATCACCGTTGAAAGTGACAATTTCAGAGACAGGCGCAGGAGTGCGTCTAAAAGCGCCGCATGGTGTGGTGTGACCATATTTTTCCATGGTTAGATACCACAGAAATACTACACAAAAATACTTCCAATTACTTCTTGTCTCACGCTTAGCCACACTTCCTGTTACGTATAATTATTTGTCGCATAGTAGTTACATATGTTCAACTTTCGTAGTCAGAATATTGCCAATTTCAGTAAAGAGAGGTCTACTTCAGTTTAACATGTAGGCTTTCGCGACCAATATCATCCATAATACAGGTTTATTGGGTTATATCTCATAAGTATATAAATGTGTCGTTAAACCCGCAACCACCCGACACAGCCAATTAGTAAGGTTTGTCACTTAGACAGAACATGCCAATTCGTTACTAGTACAGCACACCGGTGTGTTGGAGAGCAAAGCCACAGCATTTACAATATGAGTACGATGTTTTGCCAGTAATTACAACTAGCTTCATCAGGTGACAGCCAGATTTGTGGAGAAATCCGCATATTTCGTTCCTTAGAGGGGTATATGTGAAGGTACGACTTGTGAGCACTTCTTGAGGGATGTTGGTGGGGGGGGGGGGGTAATTAATGAATGCATATAAATGACAATGGGTATCCATTGCCGGTTGGAAGATGATTAGGCATCAGGTTGCCAACATTATTGAGAACAGTAAATTGCTAAAAACAAATATTAGTTTCAGTGAAGCAAAAGCCTTAAGAGAATTGAGAGCAAATAAAGATGTACAAATTCTTGCTCCTGATAAGGGCTGATCAACTGTTGTGATGCTCCGTGAGGATTATAATAATAAAATATAAAGATGTACTCCATGAAGGTACCTACCTTAAAATTTAACGAGACCAAATCAACAACACCTTGGAATGTAAAACAACAGCAATCATTGCCAAGTCATCAATTCCCAAGAATAAGCCATACCTGATCAAACCAAGGGCCTCAAACCCACCAAGACTTTATGGGCTACCAAAGATTCACAAACCTGATGTGCTATTAAGACCCATAGTACAATAGGCTCTGCCACATACTAACTAGCACAATACGTAACAAAACAGATACAGCCCTACATCAGTAGGACCTCTTCATTCATTAAAAAATCTGAACATCTCGTAGATATAATTAAATATATAAAGCTTAACCCAAATGATATTCTAATAAGTTCCAGTCAATGAGCCAATTAAATTACTTGAAACTCTAGTAACAAACACAGGTTTAGCCAAAGATATTCCACGACTAGCTGAACACTGTCTAAAGAACACCTATTTCTTGTGGAAAGATGACTTCTATAAGCAAAAGGAAGGAACAGCAATGAGCTCTCTTTTGTCTCCTGTGATAGCGAATTTGTACATGGAAGATTTTGAAATAAAAACAATAGCTTCAAGCACACTAAAGCCCTCTGCATGGTTTAGATATGTGGATGACACATTGGTGGCCTGGCCACACGGAAAATATACACAACGAATTTCTAAATCATCTCAACTCAGATTAATTTTCCAACAAAAAAATCTTATGAATACAATAAAAGGTGACTAATAAAACGAAAAAATGTCAACATCCAAATATGTTGCTTCTGCCTCTACATTAATGTAATAGATGCAGGCATTGGCTCAATAAGGTCCATGTCTTTGTCGGATAGAAATGGTTGAATGGTGCCGCTTGCTGCCTCACGGTTCACGTGCAAAAAGAGCAGTGCTCGGTTTTAAGTTCAAAATTTGCCAAAAAATGTGCTCGCAATTACTAATCTTAATTTATTTATTAAACGTGAGCGCAGTTGGTCACGTATGGTGCGAAATAAGTTGAAAATAAATTTTTATTTTAAACTTTCGTGACTGCAGGAATTAATATTCTTGGTTCTTTCGGTAAAGTCACGTAAATAGAAAACCAAAAAAATATAAAAATTGAAAATAAAAATAATAAAATTAAATGATGATAAAAATACAATTATAAATACAATTACATTTAAAATAATAAAAGAAAAAACCCACGATGTTTTGATCGCAACACAAGCTGTCTTCATCAGGCGGAGAGAAATTTAATTTTTTTTTATTTAAAAATTTTAGATTTTTTGTTTTCTATATACGTAATTTTACCAAAAGAACCAAGAATAAGTTGAACTTAAATTGTAGCGCATTTTACTCTGGAGGGTGCCTTAAGCCGAAGCTTTTAGCCTTCGTTTAAAGCACTCTGCACAAAAATCGAGTGATAAGGATGGCAAGGGGCAGTGTGCAAGGGCCGATAAATTAGTGACCGTAACAGAGGGCATGCGGGGTCAGGAAGGGGCTACAGAGGTGGGACGGGAAGGAGTGGAGTGGTGAGGGGAGGATAGAGGAAGAGAATGATGGGCAGTGGGTAAATCCACTCGCTGTAGCAACGGCGCCCTAACTGAAGACTGCACTCGTCTGTGAAACGTAACGCCTTTGCGAGAGCCATGAGCTATAACAATAAAACAATGTCTTTAGAACTGCTTTTTTTTGTTCGGTTTGTTGTCGTTCCCCCCCTCGCACCTCGACCTATCTCAATTTTGTCCCCGTTGATGAAAATTTTTGAAAAATTATTGAACTACCAAATTAGCAGTTTCCTTTACGCCAACAATCTACTACATCTAAAATAATCTGGGTTCCGAACAAAATAGAGCACCACATCTGCTGCATTAGACTATCTGAATCACATTTACAGTAGCATTGATAATAAGCAGTACTGTGCCTGTATTTTTCTTGACCTGTCCAAAG